ACATAAAGAACTAGCATATAATATGAATATGCTTATGTTTTGTTTGATATAAAAATAATGAAAGCCCATTAGATACATATGTGTATGTGTCGATCAAGTAGTAAAGTGATAGAGAAGAGTGTAGATCCTATGAGGAAGTATTATGCTTAATTGTAATTAAACTATTATTGTTTAATATAAATGCATAATTTATCCTATTGGATATAAAATCGATGTTTTGAATTTTTTTCACTTCATGGAGACTTGCAACAAAATAAGATACTAATAGAAATAAAATATTTTGGACTAATGAATATAAAACAATATTTCTTTCCTAATGAGACTTTTAATTTTAGATGTGAATTAGAGTATATGTATCCTTAGATCTATATTGAGCTGATAAGGGTGAAAAGGAAGATTTTGAAAGTTTAAATAAGTTGTTAGACCTAATACAATTGTCCCAAGGTTAACCAAGAGAGGGGGACTGTGAATTGATAATTTAAAAATTCTCTTAGATTTTAGAAAACCGATTTAAGATTTTTTAACACAATAACTAAATTTTCATAACAATATTTATCAACCATAATAAACTTAAATGCAGTAAAAAAGTAAAGACAAAAGAACGCCAAATTTTATAGTGGTTCGGTCCAGCTAGACCTACGTTGACTCCTTGAACACTCGTTCAGGTATTGCAATATATTAAGTGACTCTCCTTTTGCTCCCACAGCAAGCTAGGCAAAGAAGCCCTTACAACAACCTCTCTTTCATTAACCTCGGTGCGATCAAGTACCGATGTCCTTTCTCATCCTTCTGGTTATGGCAGAGTGCCGATGTCCTTTCTTACCCTCCTAATGATGGTAGAGTACCAATGTATTTTTTCACTCTCCTAGTGACAATAGAATACCAACATCCTTTGTCACCCTACTAGTGATGGAAAAGCATCAGATCTACTCCAAAGATTTTCTCTCAAGAGCCTTCAAAGAAGTAGGGTAATGATTTGAATAACACATAAAGAGATCATCACCTTTGAACAACCTTGTGAACCCTTCATAATTTTCACTTAGAAGATCTCTTAAAATTCACTCCTAAACACTCTCCCAAA